GAGGGGAGAGGGGCCAGGGTGCCGCGCTGAACAATCGCCCCCCCCCCCGCGAAAGGCGCAGCGAAGGATTCGGGAGCAACTGGACTCAGAATCGGGCTTGCAGGGCCGTGGGGAGGAAAACCGAGAGCATCAAGGGCTGGAATGAAGGGCAGCCCCAGAATAAGCCCAGGTGCATCGCTCATGGGGGAAATGCAGCTTTGCCGAGCGCCCTTTCAGTACGATCCCCTTTCTAAGGCTTCCTCTGTGCTTAATTTATTCATGGGAATCGTTTTAGTGCCACTTCATACATATTCATAGAGATGCGGACTGCTGGGCTAGCAATCTCTTCAAAAATGTACAGCCGGCACAAGGTGCTCTCGGAAACACCCTTGGAGTCCAAATGGGCCTTGAGGCACCGAACGAGGGACTTGGGACAAGATCATGCGCCCTCTGGACCGTTGTGCTCCAGCCACAAAAAGGTGGAGAGTCCGAACCTTACAGAGGGGTCACCGTGGGATTGGGGTCTCCCTGCTCAGTTTTCCTCTGAAGTTTGGGTGCATGGAATGGGGGGGGATGGGGGGGTTGCCACCTGCACAGCCTTTGCTTTTCTAGGTTCACTGCCCTCTTGCTCATGAGCTCAGAGTCTCCCTGCACTTTTCCTCCAAAATGGATTTCCCAACAGACAGGGTGACTACATCCACAGTTCCCGCTTGCCCGAGGACTAGTAACTTGCAGAGGGCTTTTGAACTAAGGGCCATCAGTGGGCTAACGTAGCACCATGTGCTTCAGCAAAATAGAGGGCAAAGGAAGACACGGATTTGCACAACAGGTTCCTCCTCCAGAAATCGGTCCAGTCCCCCTTTAAGGTAAAGGTTTCCCCTTGACGTGAAGTCCAGTCATGCCTGACTCCAGGGGGCGGTGCTCATCTCCGTTTCCTGGCCAAGGGAGCCAGCGTTTGTCCGCAGACGGTCTCCGTGGTCATGTGGCCGGCATGGCTAAACACCGAAGTGCACGGAACGCTGTGACCTGCCCACCGAGGTGGTACCTTCCTATCTACTTGCATTTGCATGCTTTCGAACTGCAAGGTTGGCAGGAGCTGGGACGGAGCAATGGGAGCTCACCCCGTTGTGCAGATTCAAACCAGCAATCTTTCGATCAACCAGCCCAGCAGCACAGCGGTTTAAACCACTGCGCCACCTGCAGTCCCCCAGTCCCCCTTTAAAGCTGCCCAAATGGGGGGGGGGGGCTTCTGACATCTTCTAAGAGTCTGGACAGGCATGCAAATGTTTAATGGCTTGACTGCTTCCTTATCAGTCTCCAGAGGTCTGTCCTCTGTAAAGGAGGACATGCAGGCCCTCCTCCAGCAAGTCTCGGGTCAAGAGGAGGAGAGGTGGGGAAGGCTGCACGGCGCGACTCAGAACGGCTCCCGGGTTCTGGGGAACGCTGCTTGCGCGCAGCGGCTGCCTCCAAGGTCGTATTGTACAACACACAGTTGTGGGGGAGCTTTATTCGTTCTGGGACATTGCTAAATGCTTCAGCCTTCTTTACAGACGGAGAAGACTAGCAGGTTCATTTGTGGTAACTAATGAGCCCTGATTTGATATTTAAATGCAACAGCAGTAGAATTTGTATCTCATGCAATCCACCGCTTGCCACGCTGAGGATGAGCTGCCGCAACAAAAAGCTGACGCAGATTCCTACCAAATCAGTTGAAATGGGTCTGTTCACTGGGAGACTGGCAGGCAGGTTAGAGCTCCGGGTTTTGTCATTTTTACAGTCGGTGGTACCACTTCATTCCTTCCCTACTCCGCATTTTAGCCATGAAAATACAGGGGTTGTGACTTACATTACAGAGAAACTGCTTTGATTTGTTATTAAATTGTTTTTATTAATCTAAAGCACTACAGAGAGGCCAAACCGCTAAATCAAGTACTCAATTGTAATTTTCCCTCTCTTACGAGCTCAATAAAAGCAGATTCGTGTATGAGCACGGAATACCCGATGAAGAGGGATCCCTGCTGTTGCGAACTCCCTCCCCGTCGGCTCTTGGCTCTTTCTGGGTTCCTGTGCGGCTGCACTGGAGGTAAAGTGAGGAAGTCGTCCTCTTGCTCCTCCAAATAAAACACGCCGTGTGTCCCGCTGCCCCTCCCCGTTTTCTTGCGTGCCTCCTGCCCCCTTCCATCATGAAGCTCCGGGCCTCTGCTTTGTGCGATACAGCCATCCTGATAATTTTGCTGCCCATGTCCTTTTGAAGGCCTCTGTACTGGTGTGGGAAATCTACACCGGATTAAAATGTGCTTGTATTTCTGTGAATCAGGCCCATGGATTCTGTGGTGGACCAGCTTTTCCCAAGTCATAACACACTGCGTGGCTGCATGGCCCGTTTCTTTTAACCACCTGTAATTTTACAGCCCTAAAGGATTGCCACACAGAAGGGGGCTGAAGTTCCAGGAAGGTGGAGTTTGGTGATCACCAGAAAAAAACTTCCTAGTGGGCAGAAGGAACCTGCTGGACAGCTGGAGATTTTCAAGCAGAGACTGGAGGGCCACCTATCTGGGTTGCTTTGAACTGAATTCCTGCACTAAGCAGGAATTGGAGTTGATGACTTCAAAGGCCCTTCCAGTTCTGTAATCAGTGTTGGGAAAGGAATCTACTGAACCCACCACCCCTCCACGGATGTTGTCTTGGGTTCCGGGATGGAAGGCAGAAGGGTTGTGGGAAGCATGTTGAACAAGTACATTCACAATTTCTTCACCTTCTGGGTGTTGGTACTTAGAAATTCCATGCATTTTAAAGTCACAAAGAGAGGGGCTGGAAGACCAAATAGCAGCCTGGCCCATTAAGGTTCCCAAGGCGGAGGATGGAGACGGAGTGGCCACGCAGGAAAATGGGGAGCAGTCTGCAGAAATGCTCCCAGCTGCATTACAGCAGCTGCCCACAAAATGGAGGCCTTTTGAGAGTAAGCGGCGGAGCAATTGGAATTTATGAATATTCCCAGCCAAAACAAGAAAAGGGAAAACAGAAGACTTTTGGCTATTTATAGCAAACCATCCAGATTGTTCAGAGCACAGTTGAGGGAAGGCGCCCAGGATGCGCAAGGCTCCTGCAGCAAAGCATCAAGAGGACTGCACAGGCCTGACAGCCCATCAGGAAGAAGAAAAGCAAAACTGGCTAATTCCCAGCACATATCGGAGGAAAGCCTGGCTGGGGTAGAACGCCACATGCCGGAGCCATACATATTTTGACTGGGGCAGCACAGGAGTGTTGCAAACCTTCAAGTTACACAGAGCTCTTTAGCAGCTGCTTTCAAGCTGAAGCCAGGAAATGTGACATATATGCAAGGATAAACATATGACTCTCGGTCCTACTGTTAACTACTCATGAAAGGAAACGAAATAAACAGCTGATGTTGCCGCTACGGGCTGGTGAATCCCCCTTCTCAGGGTCGGAATACAGCCATACAGAGCACGTACATTTGGAGGGCATGCCAAACTCGCCCAATTTCAAGCCAGCCTTTCTTCATTTCAGCTCCATAGAATCGTCCCAGCCAGATGCTGAAATAGGGTCTTGGGCTGAAGAGGAGCCCTGAGAAATAGCTGAAATAGCTCCCGGGGCTCTGCTTCTTCCAAGAGCCTTTGCTCCCCCTTTGTAGCCCACAATTGACTAGTGAGTGGGGCAGGGAGAGACGTTAAAACATTTTGCCATTCACACGACGGTCTGCAGAGAAGGAAGGACTCCCTGGAGAAGCGCCTAATGCTGGGAACAATAGACGGCAAAAGAAGAAGGGGACGGCAGAGGATGAGGTGGCCGGATGGAGTCACTGGGGTGGTTAGTGTGGGCTTGGGTGTACTCAAGGGGATGGTGGAGGACAGGAAGGCCTGGAGGAGTGCTGTCCATGGGGTCGCGATGGGTCGGACGCGACTTCGCGACTAACAACCATAAATTTAATGGTTTGGCGGTTTCCCCGCTTTCACTCCCTTTCCCAAACTACCCCTCTCCAAAACTGGATGGGCAGCTCCCTCGAGGTCAGGCTAAAACTCCGCCTGGACGACCGTCCCGCTGCTTACGGCCTGCGCCATGCAAGCGGGCGAGGCATTCCAGCGGAGCCCTGCCCAGCGGCTGCCGCGGGCGCGTCCGGTAGAACCATCGAAATAAATTAGAAATTCCAAATTAAATGTGGAAGTACCTCCACGTCGGTTATGGAGGGGTGGGGGAGCTGCAGTGGGAGTTGTATTCTCCCCGCGCCCTGCTGTTTCAGGAAGGTGCCACGAAATTCTGCCATCGCGACGCCGCAGCGCTTGCTTTCGCACCGCGGGCCGCTCCGGCCAGGCTGCAGCTCCGCCCCCGCCGGGGAATCCGCCTCGCTGAACCCGGTGCCCTTCCCGGGTACATGGGGGGGGGGGGCGGGCGGCGCGTGTCTGCCTGCACCGCTGTGCCAGAACCCGAGACGCCCGACGCGCTGCACCCACGCCAAGGAGGTTGGGATCTTCATTTTAGGGTTGCCTCCTTTCAAAAACTGATTCATTCATTCTTTCATGCATTGGGGTTAATTTAAATGTGTCCACGTGCTTGCAACCGGGCACCCTCGAGGTCTGCAGATACGGGACAACTCCCATCATCCCCTAGCGGGCAGCTGAAGACGAACGCAAACGCCTCCCGCAACCTGGAGCCCTGGATATGTGCGATCATCCCCATGTAGCTGTATGGACGGGCGGGAGTTCCCCGCAGAAGAACTCGGAATTCAACCTCAGGCGGCCCGCTCCGCATTCTTTGTAGCTCTCTGGAAAGGGCTGTGTCAGGCCGCGCTTCTCCCCGCCCATCCGCGGTGGCAGCTGCTCGGACTGCGAGTCCCGGCAGGCCGCGCGGCGCCTTCCACTTCCTGCGCGCGCGGTGCGCGGCTCTCGTCACCTCGCGCGCGCCCGCCTGACCTCCTGCCTGCACTTCCGGTCTCTGCCGCCAGTCTCCCTCGGGTCGGCGGGGCGTGCGGACCGGGAGCGCCGGCCGGGCAGGGCAAGGCGGCCCCCGCGGGGAGCGGCGCGGCCTGCGATGCGACCATGTTTGTGCAGGAGGAGAAGATCTTCGCGGCCAGGGTGCTGCGGCTCCGCATCTGCGCCTTGGACGGCGCCGAGTGGCTGGAGGAGGTGGCCGAAGACACGGCCGTGGAGCGCCTCAAGGAGCGCTGCCTCAAGCACGTAAGTCTCCGGGGCGGACTGGGGCGCGCGCGGCCACGTCCCGCTTGCGCAGCGTTCACGCGGCTCGTCGACGGGCTCCTCCCGCCTCGCTCCTCCGCCGTGGGGCCCGGGAGGCCCCACCGTGTCACGTTGCCAGGTAGGCCAGGCCGAGGGCCAGCGATGGGCCAAGGGAGCTTGCATTCCCCCCCCCCCATTAAGTCTTGTCAACAGCCTTGCAGGGTAGGCTAAGCCAGGTGCCAGTGACTGGCCAGGGCAGCTCAGACGGTCCTCCTCTCTGTCTCTCTGCAATGACTTTGGGTGCTAGGGAGCAGCAGTCCAGCATACCTGGTGCATCCACCTGGAGAAGGTTGGCGTAGGGTGAATTTGGCTCGCTCTGTTTCTATGTTTCTATTTTGAGTGTCATTATTTGGCTTTCTGTTTAGCACCTCCACTTTTTAGACTCCTGAGTGAATGAGTATCTTAGCCAGGCACGATGTCAAAGCCTTTGACAGCTGTCTCGCTGGAATAGACTATTTTGTGGCCTTGACGTTTGTTTTGGCTGTGTATGCGTATTCTGTCACAAGCTTTTCTGCTGGGGCTTTTTCTGTGGCTTACAAGTGGTCGGTCATGCCAGGGAAATGTAAAAATAAACCTGTCCCAGTGCTACCACAGTAATACAGAAGAAACTTGTGGAGGGCAATGAAGGATCTCAAGTGTGTATCAAAACTGCACAAGAAGGAAACACGGGGAACCCCTGGGATGGATGCCTTTCTTCTGGGTTAATGTAACTGAGGAAAAAAGATAGTTTGCATTTTGAAGCACGCAGACTGTGGCTTGTTTGCAGTGGTGTCTTGCATGGGATTCTCACTCTGAATCTACACACTCTTTCCCCACAGTGCGTGTGGTTGCTATTGTTGCGTTCTATTCTCCTCTTGCAAGGGACCCAAGGCAGTTTGCATAGTTCGCCTCCTTTCCAATTGATCCTCACAATAAGCCAGTGAGGTAGATTAAGCTGAGGGTGAGTGCCTGGCCCAGAGTAGCTCAGTGGGAAGTAGAACTCGGCTCCCCTGAGCTCTGGTCTGGAACTGCCACCGTGCACCTCACCCGCTGTTGCGTTTTGCCGATGCCAAGCAGACCACCCTTCAGTCAGGGTTGGTGCCCAGGGCCAGCCTGGTGAAGCCTTGCCGAGGGCCCTCACCCCAGCGGGGGCCCACTGGCAAGACCCCTGGAGTGGCTCCTCTTCTGCTCCATCGCAGCCTGCACTGTCACTTGTCTTGCCAGACGATGGTGATGCTGAGAGCAGGAGCAGGAGACGCTGTCGCTGCTTCTCTCTCTGGCCGTCTGCCTGCCTAGGCAGCAAGGTGGAGTCACGGGGAGGAAGGGGAGGAGCAGCCAATGGCACGGGCAGTTGGGCTTAAAGGTGCTTTGCCAAGGGCCTTCCAGAATCCAAAGCTGGCGCTGTGTGGGCCACTCTGAAGGCCGGGAGCCACATGTGGCTCTTTGAATTTATTTCGTGTCCCACTACGTGTCACCTGGGGTGTCTGTGGACACCCGCTTGCCACCCGCCACCTGTGGGTGCCCTGGTGCCGCCGTGTGTGGGCACCCGTTTGTGGCTCTCAGACATCCGACAGTGTATGCGGCTCGTCTGCCTATAAGGAGCCAGTCAGTCAGGAAAAGCTTGTTTCTTCCCCATGCAAGTGTGTGTGTGCTGGAGCCAGGGGGGCGCAGTTGGAATGTCGAGATCTCAGGAATGGCTGCTGGACTGGTGGGTAGGGGGGGTTGCTGATTCATAAAATAGCGGGTGTGACTAATCATAGAATACTGATTTCTCAGACGGCTAAAATTGGGCAGCGAAAAGAAAAGTCACCTGTGGATTAAAGTCTGAGGCAGAGTTGGGGACTTCAGCTCCAGTATGCAAAGGTGTTTTGTTTGTTTCCCCCTTTCCTTTAGTAATCCCACTCTTTCTCCCTCCCCACCTCCATCTCCAGCTTGTACCTGGGAGCCTAGAAGATCCAAAAACTATGACGCATCATAAATTGATACATGCTGCTTCCGAAAAAGTCCTTACTGACACAAAGACAGTCTTGGAGGAAAATATTCAGGACAGAGGTAAGGGAGACCTGCTTGACAGAATTGTGCTTAGCTTGCTAACTATGAGCTACCTTGCTCCCACTTCGTGGCTTTTTTGCAGGCCAGGTCCTAGCAGACACAACGGGGTGCTGTGGGCAGCCAAGTCATGCGCCCCCAAAAGCTCCCTTCCACCCCCACCAGTCCTCACAAAAAGCCTCCGCAGCATTGCAGGCTGGGTGCCCATGGCCTTGTTCTGACGGCTTGCGTGAACTGGGGTGCCTGGAAGGTGTTCTCTCGGTACGGAATGCCACCAGGGCAAAGGTGGGACCAGTGGTCAGAAGGGCTGGCGAAGCTTTCCCACCTTTGCCAGCTGCTGCCAGGAATTATGGGGGCCCCATAGAGGCTTCTCATGTGAGAAGCTCACAGCAGGTGTAATGCTTAGACACAGCCTGGTTTTCTTAGATTATTTCCCACATCAGATCAGAAATTTTGTTGTGAGAAATGCCTGCACACATCTTTCCAAGCTGATATTATAAATGTGCAATCTCCCTCCCTGGGGGCCAAATGTGCCACCCCCAGGAGTCCCCAGAAGGCCCCACTCCCTTTAGTGTTTTTCTGGCTAATCATAAAGTTGCGCTTTTAGCTAAGAGTACCGAGCTAAAACAAACGAGCATGTATTCTTTTCTTCACCACCTGGCCTTCACCCTCGGCCCTGCATTTTTTGCCTGCAGCCCTGCCTTCCACTGGAATGTGGTCCCCAAGCCCTCCCTGGATGGGACGTGGCTCTCAGGGTGGAAGAGGCTCTGGCCTCCACCCTATGCAGAATCGTCCTCCCTGTGGTGGTTCAGCCTATTTGCCCTGCTCAGGAAGAGTGCTGCTCCCTTGTCCTTTTCCAATCTCTCTCTCTCTCTCTCTCTCTCTCTCTCTAGATGTGTTGGTGCTGGTGAAGAAAAGAGCCCCCTCTGCCCCTCCCAAAATGGCCGATGTTTCAGCGGAGGAAAAAGTGAGCTCAGGTGGCTTGTGGTGTAGCTACCGCTAATTTTTCCGTCTGTGCGTGCTCAGAGTTCCAAGCCCCGGAAGCAGGCCTGGCTGCCTGTGACGTAGCTCATGAGGAAGGTGGGCGTGGGCTCTTGAGCATCTGCTCAGGGGCGACCTTCAGGGGCACGGGGCTCTGGCGGAACACTCCCCCCGCCAGACCCAGGCGGTCAGGAGCGAAGCGGGATTGCCTTTGCAGTGGCGTGTGGAGCGGTTGGGTTGCTTGGTTGTTGACTGGTCCGGCCTGCTGTCTCTGCAACCTGGCAAAACAAGCCTTGGTTCTGCGTTCACGAATTCTGTGCAGCAATAACCAATGGTTTAAACAACCCAGAGTTCACAGCACAACAACAAACTGTGGGTTTTACAGGTTTGCATGCAGCAGCAACCCAGAGTCTGAGTTGTCAGGAGTAATGGTTATATGTGTGAACCCTGCACTGTGGCTTAAGTCTGGGTTGCTAACCATCAACAGCATTGTGCTTGCAACCCAACAACAAACCATGGATTCTCTTCCTGGGGTGTTTGTGATGAACAACCTGTGGTTAGATCATAGTGCAGGGTTCTCACATAATGACAAACCATGATTCAAGAACTCATGACCTAGCAATACTCAACCCATACTTGGGTTGTTGTTCCATGGAAGCCAATTTTTCTGTGTGGTTCATGGTTAACAAATCATTGTCTGTTACCACAGCCGGTTTTGTAGACCACAGCAGCTGAAAATTCATCGTCCCACAGGGTAAATAACCAAACCATGGGTGAGCATTATGTGCGAACCTAGCTGAAAAGCAGGGCTTGAGCGTCTTCAGCTGTGCTGCAGGAGTGTGCACGCATGCAGATTGGAGGCAGGGGAAGCTCGCGGGGCTCTTGAGCGAGCAGGTGGGAAGCAGCTGCTCCCAGGCGGCCCCTGTGGTGGATGTCATACCTATTTCAGGAGCCGTGCTTTGGGTCACACCAACCCTCCTGGGTTCTATGTTTAGCTAATAGCTGGCGGTCTTTCCATCCCCCTTGCCTGGCGGGTAGGGGTTGCTTGTCCCCGGGAGGCTGGCTGGCCATGGGTTAGTCTCCTGGTGCAATTTTGACAAAAGTTTCACATTTGAGGCGTTCTAGTGGTTCTAATCAACAGGAATTTGGCAGAGGCAGAAGTAATATGCAGGGAGGAACTGGGAATCCAGACTCTCCTTTGACTTCTCAGGCGATGTCTAAGGCCTGTCGGATCACTCCCTGGATGGCTGCAGTGATCTCCTTTTAACATTGCTTTTAAAGGGGCATTTTGCAAGAGAAAATAGTCCTAGGGTGGTTTTTGTCAAACTGCCCAGTGCTGGTTTCAGCCTGGGGAGTGCTCACAGCTCGTGAGTGATCCCAAATGGCCCGGTGCCTGCCTGCGGCCTCTTTCCAGGCGAACTGCATTTTCTTGAAGGTGGGGTAAAGAAGCCGCCACATTCTGAGCAGACTTCTTTTCTCCGTCAGCGGAAGCAGGATCAGAAAGCGCCGGACAGGGAGGCCATTCTGAAGGCAACGACGAGCCTCCCCTCCCACAGCGTGGACCGCAGCGTGGCACACCACAACATGCGGGATGTGAGTCTTTGCGTCCTGCTCGGGGGGGGGGCATGGCGGTCCGGGGTTGCCCCCCAGAGTGGTCTGTGGAATTGTGGAGTCGGAAGGGGCCTGACTCTTCTGCAAGCGCCTCTCGAGAAGACACAGGAGTGATGCTCAGTCCTGCAGGGAGGGGGAGACGTTGCGGAGCATTGGGGGCGTGGCAGCTGGGGGCCAGCGAGAAGCAGGAACGCCTGCTGGGGACCCGGCTGGTGGCCAGTCTGGGGAGGAGAGCCAAGAAGAGGAGAGGCGGGCCTCCGATGAAGAGGGAGGGGCGGGCAAGGCTGTGTGGCTCTGAAGGGACTCGCAGCCGGGCAAAGACACCGTGCCTCGTGGATGCAGGCCGTTCTCCCCCTGGGGCTCTAGCCCAGGGAACCGACAGGAGCTTACGGTGTGCTGCGATAGGCGAAGCCCGCCTGGGCCTGGGTCTGCTTTGGCTGCACGAGGCCGCAGCGGCCTGTGGGCTAAGGCAAGCCGCCTTGTTCGCAGCTTGCCTGAGAAACAGCATGGACTAGAAGCCCGCTGGCAGCGTGAGCGCAGGAGAGGGGGGCTGGGCACCCGATGCCAGGAGACCGTCGAGCTGAGCCCCGGCTCAGTGCAGGCTCCGCAGCGCAGGAGGGTGATTGGGCCTCAGCTCTCTGGGCAGGGGGTTCTGGGAGCTGTAGCCTAACATCTCTGCGGAGAGCCCCGGGCAGTGGAAAGCTGGCCCAGAAAAAGACCGTGGTGGTCTCCTTTCTCCTGCAGTTCCAAACAGAACTTCGGAAGATCTTGGTCTCGCTCATCGAAGTCGCCCAGAAACTCTTGGCACTGAACCCTGATGCGGTCGAGCTCTTTAAGAAAGCGAATGGTATGAAGGAGTCTCCTCCCGCTTCCTGAAACGGCCCTTCCGCGCTGCGCTCGCTCGCCAGGACACGCAGAGACTGCGTCTCTCAGGGCCGGGGGCTTCTCGTAGGCTGTGGCTGCGGCTGGGGCAGGGGGGCGGCCATGGCGCCCCATTCCCCCATGGTGGAGAGTGCAGGGTGGGGGCAGTGGCTCAGGTATTCCTGGGTGGCTCTTTGCACAGGCGGCAGCCGTGACATGAGCTGCCAAGTCTTCTGTCCCTGAGTTGGCTCTCTCGAGGCAAACTGGGGGCGCTCGATTTTCCCGCCACAGATGCCAGGTCCATGGTCTGTGCAGTGACCACCAGCTGCAGCGGGAGCAGCTGGGCACCCGTTTGTCTGTGGGTTCAGCGCAAGCCAGGATTTCCTAGGGCCTGGTTGACTGTGAGGTGTTAGCTTGGTCATACTCGGTAGAGCCTGGGATCCCAGGAGTTTTTGAAAGGCTCTTATTCCAAACCTGCTAAATCCAGGTGCAGAATTTAAGGCCTAATCCGGCCCTATCTTAGTCTTAGTCTACCCCTCTAGAGTTCCAAGAAGACTCCTCCCTCTAGTTCCTTTCCTCAGACCAATCTGTTTCCCCAGAAATATTTTCTAGTTTCTGTGCAGTTTTTTCCTCCTCTGAACACCCACATGTTGGGGATTACATGAGTGGAGCCAGCTGGAGCCAGGGGTCAGACTAGATGGCCCGGGAGACCCCTTCTGACTTGCTTTTTTTCCTGTGTTTCTAATGGCTGGAATGCATTGCCTAAGGCAGTGAGCTTCTTCAGCTGCTGTTCTGGGTCCTTGGATTTAGCCCCCCTTGCCTTGGCAGTGCAGCCCCCCAGGAGCTTCCCTAACCTCCAGCCAAAAGACGCTCTCCCCACCCCATGCTGCATCCGTTCGGCACCCTCTTATCTGGCCCTTTTTGTCCCCAGCCATGTTGGATGAGGACGAAGACGACCGTGTGGATGAAATCGCCTTGCGGCAGCTGACAGAAATGGGCTTTCCCGAGACCAGAGCCAACAAAGCCCTTCGTTTAAATCAGTAGGTACCCCGACGTGCCCCTTGGGGAGAAATGCTGTCTGTCTCTCACACAGCTGAGGCAGGTCATGACAGACGGGCTCTGTTGCGTCCCTTCCCTTGGAGGGACACTGGTGTCTGTTTCTGATGCTGCATGATCGTGGGCAGGCCTCCCGTCTGCACCGCGAGCTGCTGGTCTCTGTTCAATCACCTGCAGGACGCCTGGCCACCTTGCCCTGCTCTCCAGCATCATCTTCTCTTGCCTTGCGGGGCGAGGCTGCTGCTCCGCCCCGCTCTTGCCCAGGCCAAGGTGGGAAGCCCCTTGGCCCGAGAGCTGGGTTCCGCTTTGGAGAGGCTCCGGGGAGCTGCTTTGCCTGGGAGGGCAGGGCCAGCAGCAAAAGGGCTGGGACCGTTTTTGTTAAACCTGCCAGCATGTTGTAGCTAAAAGGTCTTGCTGTGAGTAGATGAGCTCTGGGAGAGGCACTCAGCTTTGTGGGGTCGGGGATGCTGCACAAAAGCCAGGAAGGCGACTCCTGCTGCTGGGTGGACAGAGGGAACGGGGCCCGGGGAGTGGGCTGAGGCCGTGTGGTGGACTCAGAGGCCCAGGACCCACAGGGGCAGACGGGGCCCAGACTGGCTGGGCTCCCGTCTGGCTGCCCCTGGAGGAGAGGGGCCTCCTCAGTGACGTGTGGGCCCTTCGCCACGCAGCATGTCCGTGACTCAGGCCATGGAGTGGCTGATCGAACACGCGGATGACCCAGCTGTGGATGCCCCCCTGCCGGGCCAGTCCTCAGTGGACAGCGGGGCAGAAGCAGGGACCTCCGCGGCTGCCCCTGCCCAGCCCGCCAACGGAGCTGACCCGGAGGAAAGCCAGGAAGAGCCCAAGGACGAGTTGACCGAGATATTCAAGAAGATACGGCGGAAAAGAGAATTTCGTCCTGATCCACGGGTACTGTGTGTGCATATGCACGTGTGTGTGAGCACACGCGTGTGTGCGTGCATGCATCTAGCATCTTGATGATAGCGCAGACTTTTGAGTGTCCCTGATGCAGCTAGAAACTTTCCTAGAAGCAGGGAAGGGAAGGTCTGAGGGACTCTTTTGCCCTCAGTGGCTGCATCTCCCCCCCCCCCATGAGGTGCCTCCCATATATAGATTTTTAAATGGCTCCCAGAACGACTTCGGAGTGCTAAACTAACCTGTTTTCAAATGAATGTTGACCCTTTTGTAGTAGCTGCAGAGCATGGAAAGTGTCACAGCATCTTCAAATCAACCGCTCCGATTTCCTTTTCACATTTCTGGGGGTTCCTGCCCTTTGACGTTCAGGCTTTGGGGGGAAGTGGGAGGAGGGGGCTTGCCCCACTGCTTGCCCTCCAAGGCCAGTGAGAGGGTGTGCGGTCTTGGTTTCAGGCTGTCATCGCTTTGATGGAGATGGGCTTTGACGAGCGGGAGGTGGTGGACGCGCTCCGAGTGAACAGCAACCAGCAGAACGCTGCGGTGAGTTGTCAAACAGCCTATGAAAAAATCACAAGATAACTGTTACAGCTGCAAGCAATGCATAGTAATAAGACACACGATAAAACCAAATCACACCATGCCAACGATTAGCAAGATAAAACCAATATAAAATCCATGCATGTGACAATTTAACAGTTTGTTAACAGTTAAAATGCCGGGAAAATAAAAAGGGGTTAACCTGGCACTGAAATAAGTACAAAGTCAGCCCGAAGCACACGTCCCTGGAAGCTGATTCCAGAATTGGGGCAGCACAGCAGAGGAGGCCCTTCCCCTCATGGCCCCTCCCTCGCTCCTAGAGGTGGCTCTGAGGGAAGGATCTCGGTCTGAGGAGGCGTATATGGGAAGAGGGGCTCCCTGAGATATCCAGGCCTTAGACCATTTAGGACTTTGCAAGTTGATCTTGAAGTGGGCCTGGATTTCAACTGGGAACCTCTGTAATTGATAGAGAACAGGGCTCGCCTGCTCCTGCTTGCCTCTCCCTGCCAGCAGGTGGGCTGCCCTATTTTGCTGCCGGCCAGCCCTGAGGCTTAAGTGGCACCAAGTGTTGGCGTGTCTGTTGAGACGACGTCTTCGCAAGTCCCGCCTTCTCTCAAAAGTGGTCGGTGCTGGGCGGTCTTCAGCCCAGGGCGCGATCGAAGGGGAACGATACTGACTGACGATTGGTGATTCATGTATCTGCCCGGCGGGGTTCTCTTCACGGGTGGCTTGTGAACAAGCCACGGCTTGCTAGCACTGCTGGGTTCAGACAGCACAGCAGCACACGATGCAACAGTCACCTGTGGCTTAGCGACAACCTCCCCCTCTTGAGTGTGGGCTATTCCATTGTCCTTCCGTCCTTGTCTGACAAGGCTCGCTCTAAAGTGCTTCCATGGGGAAGCAGTTTCCGGGTCCCTTCATACCTCCTCTGCGGGGGCGTTCAGCCCACAGGTAGGAAGGGGCTTGGGCAACCCCATGCGTCGGGTTGAACATGGAAGGGAAGGGCGCGGAGAGAGCAGAGTTTTCCCTCTTCTGGCCCCCTGAGCCGTGCAGTGAAGGTGGGCTGGCAGTTCAACTGACAGTGGACAATAATGCGATTCATTCCCACAGAACAGGGTGCCAAAACAGGAGGGCCCCCCCAGGAGGGCCCCCCAAACCTCTTCAGCTTCCCCTGGGGAGCCCACATCTGCTGCTGCTGCTGCTGCTGAAATGGGAGGGAGGCCTGCTGTAGGGATAGGCAGGGCGGTTTCTGCCGCAGGGGCTTCATTGTGTCGGAGGAAGCAGTGCTGGATGTACCTGGGCCGAATGGCGCTCTCCTTACCACACGCAGAGTTGCAGCTCCCCTAGGGATTCACTCCCTTAATATTTTGTGTTTCCTCCTGACTTGCTTCAGTGTGAATGGCTCCTGGGGGACCGGAAGCCCACCCCGGAGGACCTTGACAAGGGAATTGACCCCAGCAGCCCTCTTTTCCAAGCCATCTTAGAAAACCCAGTGGTACAGTTAGGACTAACCAATCCTAAAACACTGCTCGGTAAGTTTTGGTCTGCACGAGAAGCCTCGCATGGTAGAGGCATCGACCCGTACACCTCCCTGCGGTCCCATCCCGCCCTCCACGCTTTCACCCGACGGGCCCCTTTTCTCCCAACCTCCAGTGACTTGGGGATTCCCTGGCTTGTGCCTAGTTCTAGCGGTTCTGGGAGGTGGAAAGGCATCTCCCAAGGTGTACAAGTGAAAAGATGCTGAGTTATCGTGTTTCCGCTGTTGCCTTTGGCCCCACTTTGGCATTTGTAGCATATTCCCCATGGGGGGGGCGTAAAGGACAGGAGATGCTCTAATATTTCTCTTTAAAAAGAAACCTAGCCTGCATCTCCCCTCAGGAGCTTTGCTTTGCGCTGGCCATGTCCACCTGAGCTTCAACACTGAGGAAATGCCCATGGGTTGCACATGAGAAGACGCCAAAGCCAAGCAGGAATGGGCTCTGCATTTGGGATTCGGAGTGGATTCCTTTACAGTTAAAATCTGCCCCTCCCCACCCAGCCAGGGACAGGTGATGTCCCTATAAAATACAGTTGCTGATACTAAGTTTTGAATGAGAACACTTTAAAAAATCTGCAGTGTATATGATGAATTGTCTATGAGAAATAGACAGTTTGTGGGGAAATGTTAAATTTGTTCCCTGGATCCAGTTGGATTGTGGTCAGCAGCTTAACTGGAGCTTTGTCTGTCAGCTGGAAACGCAGACACTGAGAGAGGAAGATCAAGCCCTGGGGTCCCTGCAAGAGGCCGAGACAGAAATGCCTCATCACAGTAACAGCCCTGTGGGAATCTGGCTGCATTCCTTGATCCAGGAGCAAAGCCCCGTGTGCAGAGTCAGGCGTCCACGCAGGCAGATACGCCCTGCTCTGGATCCCCTGGAACCAGCCGGGTGTGTCATCCCTGGATGCCATCCAGGGCTGCTTGCTGCAGCTAGAGCACAACATGATGAGTTTTGAAAAGTATCTGCGCCCTGTTTCTCAGCTAAAAAGCCCCCGAAGGCTGTTCACAAACATTCAGTGAAACAAGGGCGTCCCAGTCTAAAGCAGCACCACACACGAGGGAGGGGAGAGGGGGAAGCCCTTGGCAGGGTGGGTGAAACGGGCCTGCGGGCAGCTGCTGGGGGGGGGGGGGGGGAAAGGGGGGGCGCTGCCCGGCATGCTGCGTGATCCTTGATTGGCTGTTTTCCACACACTTTTTCCTGGCAGCCTTTGAAGATATGCTTGAAAACCCTTTAAACAGCACTCAGTGGATGAACGATCCAGAAACTGGGCCTGTGATGCTGCAGATTTCCCGGATCTTCCAGACGCTGAACCGCACATAGGAGGGGATGGACCTCTCCGCTGTGCCAGTTTGGACTGTTCTTTCGCTGTGTGTCTTGTAAAGAACCAGAGACACCTTCTGCCAAGAGAGAAATTACGTGAGGGGTGCTTTGCTTTTCTCTGCATTTTTGGGTAGATGTTCCAAACTTCTTGTTTCGTTTTGCAGTTTGCAAATACAGGCTGTGTGACTTGATTATAATTATTTTTAGTGTTAGAGAAAGAGGATTTGAAGACATAGGCGTGTTTTTCTTTTCTTTCAAGTGTTTTGAGAGAAGCACTAGTGCATCCAAATACAGGAAAGACTTCCAGAATTATTTAAGGAACTGATCATTGGTGGAATGACGGCGTAATCCCCACTTGTGCTGTTTGGGCTAACTACAGAGGTTCCCACTAGCAATCGACGTGCCCACAACAGAAACCCCAAGAGAAGAGTTACCTGCAGTCACTGACAAACGAGTAATGAGCATGTCGGCTTCTCTTGCCTCAGTTATGTCTGTTGTGAAATACAGAGGACTTTTTCAGCTGATAGTTTGGGAGTTCTGTTTTGATTGTGCACTGACTGAAACCTGGACAGATAAAGGGCCCCTGCTTCACCTCGGCGGATCCCTTTGTCAGTGAGATGTTGTTTTCCCAGCGCTTTTGTGTGAGTGAGCTCACTTGGAATTTTGAGTGTCATGGTTGCCCCCACAAAATGACTGTTATGGAGCGCAGCTTGCAGATTCATTAAATCGTTCCTATGTGGGTGTGTCTCCTCACAAAATGCAGGTTTTGAAGACAAGCTGGTGAGGCTAAAACAAAATGCAGTTGGATGAAAACCAGAGTTCAAGGTAGTGGTTGGCTCTGAGCTCCAAAACACGAAACCATTCATTTGAAACCAGATAAGGTGGATGCATTTGGAATCATGGCGGCATCAGGAGCTCTCTTGCAAAGTGTCTACCATGGGAGGTTCTGATTACTTCCCCTTAAGGGTTTAGCTAGGAGTGATATATAGAAACATTGGAAGCTTGGGTTCTCTGGATCATACCTGGACCTATCTAGCCCACTGTAGCCATCCTGGCTAAGAGTAAGGCAAGATTCTAGTCCCCATGTTTCTGATAAGGGAGTTACTTAAAAGTGGATCACAGGAAGCTGCCTTAGACTGATCTAGACCCTTGATTTACCTAGCCCCATTTTGCTGACCCTGACTGGTAGCGGTGGCTTGCCAGGGTTTCATGCATAAGTTTTTCCAGCCCTATCTAGAGATGCTGCAGGAGATAAAAAATGCAACCTTCTGCACATGAAGCAGAGGTGTGCCTTCAGGTAGCTGGGGCTGCAGCTCCTTCCTTCCCTTGGTATTTCTATTCATGTATTTTTGTTTGTGATACTTTTATACCACTTAGTATGGCAAAATTTCCAAGTGGCAGTAAGACAGTTCTTTGTCCTAAAGGGGCTTACTATTCTAAAAGACATGACAGCAAAGAAAAGGAGATTGGGGGGGAAGAGGAAAACAGCAGTTCTTAGTTTTGACGTTATTAGGCATGCTCTTTCTGACAGAGAAGGTCCACATCGCTCCCTGCAGCTGCTCCTTGGCCAGGTGGTGCACTGGGGCTAGGCTCGTCTCCCCTTTGCAGTGGTGCAGCCCCACAGGGACCCCTCGTTTCTTTACACGGGAGGCACCGAAGAATGAATGGGCAGAAGAGCCGCTGCTTCGCATCCGCTGCGTGGGCGTTTCTCCACCTGCCGTGCGCGAACCCTTGGCGCGGTGGCACGGGAAGCTCGTATGAAACATGCCTTCGCGTGCACGCCGCCCCAGACGGCGGAGGGAGGCCGCGCTGCACGCAGCAAGGCGCCGCCCGAAGAGCGTCCTTGCGCGGGATCGGGGCCCGCTTCGCTCAGCTGGCGGCGCTTGCGCGGAGGGGCCGGGGAAGGCGTAGGCCACGCCCTCTCTTAGCCGCCGGTCCCCTCGCACGTGTCCGCCCGGCCCCAAGATGGCGGCCACAGCGCCGGAAGCGCTCGCGGCGCGGGCGGAAGTGCCGCGCTGAGGTGGCGGGCGGGCGGCGGCGGCGGCGATGAGGCTGCGGCGGGGGAGCCGCGCGGCCGCGCTGGGCCTGGCGCTGGCGCTGTGTCAGCTGGGCCCGGCGGCGCAGGCGGTGGAGCCCATCAGCCTGGGCCTGGCACTGGCCGGCGCCGCCGCCTCGGCCCTCACGGGCATCATCTACTCGCCGCGGCTCTACTGCTACTTCGCGGGCTGCTGCCGCGAGAGGCCCGGAGCCTACACCGGCGTCGGTAAGCGGCGGCTGCGCGGGGCCCCGGCATGGAGGGGTGGCCGTGCCTGCGGGGGGCCTCCTGGGGCCCGACTCCCGTCATCCCCAGCCGACACGTATGACGCATGCCGGTTGGGGATGGCAGGCGCTGGGACCTCCCTCTGTCTTTGGGCAGCAGTGCCTATCCTCCCCACTGTTGGCTGGGGATGATAGAAGCTAAGAAGTTGAGGTGAGAGGCGTCGCTTCAGCTGGCATCCTCCCCTCTTTTTGGACTGCAGCGCTTGACATCTCCGCCTAACCTCTCACAGTAAGTCTTGGCTGGGGATGATGGGAGTCGGATGTTCAAGGCATATGGGTCAAATATAGAAACAGGGCCAAAACCGAGACCCACATTAGCCCACGCGGTGCCTGAACTAGACCACAGCTGCTTTTAGCTCTCAGCATTCCTGTCCTTGGCTGCTCAGGTTGGCGAATGATGGGTGTTGGAGTCCTGCACTTTCTGGAGGGCGCCTACATGGGGAAGAATAGCTTGGAAGGTGTTGTCCTTCCCTTCCTGCTTCCGTAACTATGAAGCTTGCTCTCCCCACCCTGTGTGGCCAGCCCCCCTCCCCGCCAGCGACCAAAGTCCATCCAGGTCCTCAGCGCGTTCCCTGGTACGCTGGACTCCTTTTATCTCTGCCCAGGGAGAAGATGCAGCCACCAGGAGCAGCGGTGCAGCGCATGGGCTCTCCTCGCAGCTCTTGCTCCGCTGACACCCAGGGCTAGGGGGCGGAGGCCCCCCCGCCATAGCAGGGCCCCCAGTTCGGCCCCGTTTTCCTCCTCCTGTATGTGAGCTGCTTTGCATTCGGGGAAGTGAGGGAGGCACATGCAAGGCGCCTTTGGGTGGGGGCGGATTCTGCCGCTTCGCCTGTTGCTGAGAACCAGGGCCGCTTCTTCATCTGCATAGGCTGGTTGCTGTCTCTGGGCCATTTGGCCAAAGTTTGTGGCCTTGCGCTTCTGACATTTAGCTAGCAAAATACCTCCTGCTCTGCTGAAATGGGCTGTGGAACAACTGTACCTTCTGCACATAGAAAGATACTTGGTGCTTTTTAGAGCCCGGCACTTCCAAGCACTCTTATCTGGAGCCATGTCAATCAGGCACCAGGCCTGGTTTGGGAATGGCAACTCCCTGGCGATCTCGGCCATCTCAATCGCATCCGTCTCCCTCCCCAGCGCGCCGGGATGACAGGCGTGTGTGGCGACAGTGACACACGCGCTGGTGACTTCCCGCCTAGACTTCTGTAACGCGCTTTACGTGGGGCTTCCCCTGAAGACAGTCCGAACACTTCAATTGGTGCAAAATAGAGCTGCCAGGTTGCTGACGGGGACGGGGCGTTATGCTCACATGACTCCAGTCCTCCGTCAGCTTCACTGGCTTCCCATTGAAGCCCGGGCCCAATTCAAGGTGTTGGTGATGACCTACAAAGCCCTAAACGGCTTGGGTCCTGGCTACCTGAACGAGCGCTTACGTCCGTATATGCCCGACCGCCCTTTGAGATCTGCGGGAGAGTCCCTTCTCCGGGAACCCTCCATGAAAGAAATTAGGAGAGTAAGTACCCGGAGGAGGGCTTTCTCTGCGGTGGCGCCCAACCTATGGAATTCACTCCCCAAAGAGGTCCGCCTGGCACCGTCGTTACTGGTTTTTCGGCGCCAGGTAAAGACCTTTTTATTTAAACATCATTTCAATTGTTAAAACATATGATCTGGCCTGGGCAACTTCTTCTTCCTTCTCTTTCTCATCCTATATTTTACACTGATAATTTTAATTTTGTATTTGTAAATCAATGTATTTTTTGTATTTTTATATTTAATGGTAATTTATTATGTACTATTGTATTTCAATGTATTTTATCATGTTGTAAGCCGCCCCGAGGTTTCGGCAAGGGGCGGCATAGAAATGTTATAGTAGTAGTAGTAGTAGTAGTAATAATAATAATAATAATAATAATAATAATAATGAGGGGCACGATCGCAGTCGTGCTGGGGGGGCGGGGAGATGGCCACACTTGTACTCAGGGGGGGCGGGGGGAGATGGCCGCAATCTTTGTTGTTCTATGTCACTTTGCTTCACATTTTTCTGATTTAAAAATAGTTATAGAACGGATTAACCTTATTTACATTGAACCTTATGGGGAAATTTAACTTGGCTCACAACCAATTTGGGTCACGACCAGAGTCCTGGAACGGATTAAGTTTGTGAGCCAAGGTACCACTGTATTTTGCATAATGCAGCTGATGACTGCAACTGGCATCTAGAAAGACTGAAGCAAAAATACTAAGGATGAATACTGTTAATGCCACGCTTAGTATTTGAAGCAAGTCAGCCCAGAACAATTCCCACAATACACAATGGCTGCAGAGCTAATGACTACCATATTTAAGTGCAACCTTGCCGAAACGTACTGTCCAGATGAGTTGGACTACAGCTTCCGTTGGCCATGCTGGTTGGGCATGATGGAGATTATAGTCCTCGCTGCCGCCCCGGTTCCAAGGGAGCAGGAGCAGGAGGCCGTAGAGGCGAGCGCGGGGTGGCTCCCCCGGCCGGGAGAGGGCAGCGGGGAGGGTGGTAAGGGCTGCTTTCTGAGGCGAGGGATGGGGCCGCAGCAGGCCGAGTGGGCTTCTCCCGCCACGGGGGGGAAGAAGCATGGCGGCCACTCCACGGCAGCGACTTGCCCACAGAAGGCCGCGGCTCCTGCACCTCTGCCACGGCCTTCTTTGGGCAAGCCGCCACCACCGTCGAGCGGCTGCCCCCTGGCTTGGCAAGGTGGCCACGGCTTGGCCCGCAGCTCAGGGATGTGGCTCACATACTTAAAAATGGATGTTAAAAGTTATATTTTTCTTAACTTCAATCCTTTTTTAGCATCTTCGTCTCTCTCCCTCTTTCGCCCTCCTCTCTTCTGTTTCCCGCTCCGTATTCCCACTCTGTATATGCATGCAATAGGAGGGTGGGGGGAAGATCTAGCACATGCGCAGTTGAGGTGTTACAACTTGCCGCATGCGCCAGCTCTGCTCAGTTTCAGAGAACACCTGCGCTGACTCAGAGCTTTTGGACTTGCTTGGAGATCGTTTTCTCCAAGCGAGTCCAAAAGCTCTCAGGCGGGCCGGATAAATGAGCGTGGTGGGCCGTAGTTTGAGGACCCATGAGCTAGAGCAATTGATAGGAGTTGGTATTTTTATTTGAGGGGAAGAACGCAAGGACTGGGATCAGTTGAGCAGCAGTGCTGAATGTGTGAATTCCAGGAGCTGATTGGGCACAGGATAGATGAAATGAATGGGGTGCTGTGAAGGGGAATGCAGACCTGAGGCTTCTTAAGTGTGCTGGAGGGTGGAAGAAATTCACACGGAGGGTGCCAGGCATTGTTTTAAACAGGATGTATTGCAAGCTTACCTGGGCCTTCTTTCTTCTCTGTCCTGTGCTGGTCTTCAGTGGACCTGGCGGTTTGGGTGAGGAAGGGGCCCCTGCCAGTATCTGGGGATGGACAGCTGCCACATCACAAAGTGTGGATGCTGCATAGCCGAATCTTCTCTTGTAGACTCCTCCTCCAGTTCTAGTGTTGGTTTTGTCTATTGATTTGGTTTGTGCCCCACCTTTGATCAACAGAAATGACAGTCCGGGATACTCACTGTTTTTATTTGCGTATGGCTACTTCCTCTGGAATCAGTAAGCTAAAAATATACATCGGGCTGGATCCAGAATCTGTCTTCAATGAGATGAAGGGTTATGCTTTCAGGAAGCCCCTCCTCCCAAATTCCGGAGTCCTGTCTTTAGGTTACCCCGTTTTGCAGGGCCTGCTAACTCTCTCTAGCTGTTTCAGGGTCTTCAGGGACTTTCACGGGAAGCAGAGGGCAGGGAATTCTCCTTCCACCAGGGCAGGTGAGCCAGAGCAAGTGTGGGACCAGCTTCAGTCTTTCCTACTGATCCAGCTGTTGCACTTCTCATCCTCCCCATCCCCGCCACCCCACCACAGCTCTTCAGGAGGATTTGGAAAAAAAACTCTTTGGGCAGCACCTGGTGACAAAGGTGATCGTGAAGGCCGTGGCTGGGTTTTTGAACAATTCCAAGCCCAAGAAGCCCCTGACTCTCTCTCTGCATGGCTGGACTGGCACTGGCAAAAACTTTGTCAGTAAGATTGTCGCAGAGAGCGTCTACAAAGAGGGCCTCCACAGTAAATACGTCCACCAGTTTGTGTCCACGTTGCATTTTCCTCATCAGCAGAACGTTACGCAGTACAAGGTAAAAGGATATATTGCAACTTGGAAATATGGTACAGTCGGAAGACTGAACAGTTCTCTTATATCGGGGGTGCAGATGTGGGCACGGGGGCAAATCCTTAACCTAACCGCCTAAAATACTAACAGACAGCAGCGTTCAGGCAGGAACACTATGTACGTTAAGACAGACAAGCCATGCAGCTGCCAGCATCCCCAGCTGGGCCGCCTGAGGAAGCCGGTGGTGTGTAGGATTTGTTCAGTCTGAGCATGCACAGAAATGGCTCCTCAGCCCTTCCTGCCAGTAACTTCAGTTTAGGAGACATTTCAGCCTTTTGGAATGGTGGATGAAACTGAAACAAACACCAGTGGGGGAATGTAGGTGGGGCTGGGGGAGTGGGACCCCCGGGAGCCTGATTTACCCCCGCCCCCCACCTCAGGCTTCTTACCCCGGCTCTGACTGAAGACACTGAGCTTCTGAAGCAGAGTGATGGGGGTTTCCAGGTTCCCGGTGGAACTAGAAAGGTCTGAAGCTCTTTGTTAACAGAATGCCGAAGTGAGCATTCACGGGAGAGATCAGCCTTTCAGATCCTTGCATCTCCTGTACGACCTTCCCCCGTCTGGTGTTCTCCAGCAAGGCCAAGGGGAGTGGCAGTCATCGTCCTACCCACCTGGAGAGGCCAGTTCCGGGGCACAGGGAACTGCACTTCGAACATCCGCGTGCTTGTTCTCCAAAGGGACCGGCCCTTGCTTTTGGTCGTTGGACAACGGCAGCTCTGCTGCGGCAGCGGCAGCCCAAGCTACTTCCTCAGCAAAGACATTCAACTTCCCCAAAAGTGACTGCTGGCAACAGGCGCCTTCCACAACCTGCCACCCTCCAGATGTGCTAGACTGCAACAGCTGTCCTTCTGGGAGCAGTGGGGGCTGTGGGGCAACACTTCTGGGGGATGCCAGTGGCCCTCGGTCCCGTGTGGAGCTCCAGCTGGCAAGCTGATCCTGCTTCTCTTCCACCAGAGCGCAGCCTGCAGTTGTGTTTATCCAGAAGTGGTGCTCACATGGAGAGCATTGCGCAGACAGTTCCGGAGAGGCCCCCCAGATTCCCCAGTCCACTTCCCAGCAGCAACGAGAAGCTTGAGGGAGGAGCGGTGCCCCTCCTCCCTGTGTCAGCTCAGGGGCAGAAGGGTCGGGTTGGTGGGTTCTCAGCCGTATGCTCTGCCCATATTAGGACCAGTTGCAGCAGTGGATCCGTGGAAATGTGAGCAATTGCGCAAGGTCCATTTTCATATTCGACGAGATGGATAAAATGCATGCCGGGCTCATCGACTCCATCAAACCTTACCTGGATTACTATGAAACGCTGGATGGCGTGTCTTATCAGAAAGCTATCTTCATCTTCCTCAGGTGAGGAGAAGTGGTGAAGGCTGGAGTCAGAGCACGGCACAGCTGCCAGTGATGCCTAGCCAAAGGCCGGAATGTTTGGCTCCGGGGTCATTAGGTGGCCGGGGGCGGTTTCTTCCAGTCTCGCTTGTTGTCATTGCTGTCTTCCCTAAAGTTACCTAGAGTTGAAAATAGAGAGATGTGAGGCAGCCATTGCCAGGCCTGAACAGTTTGCAGTCAGAAACCCATCCATTTCTGAGCTGAAATTGCCTGTCTTTCTTTACCCAGCAACGCAGGGGCTGAAAAGATCACCGAAGTGGCCCTGGACTTCTGGAGGCGTGGAAAGAGAAGGGAAGATTTGGGACTCAGGGACGTGGAGGCGTCCGTCTCCGTCTCTGTTTTCAACAACAAAAACAGTGAGCAAAGCCGGCTTTAACTGGGGACTGAGGGTGGCAGCTGTCTGCGGAATTATCTAGCCGGGGTGGGTTGTGGCAGCTACCCTCTTGGGGACCAGAAGACGCCGCTGCATTGCCCCAGTCGGACGGTGTCTCCACCTGATTTGGTATCGCCTGCACTGAATGGCAGCAGTCTCCAGCATCCAACTATCTTCCTCTTGCTTTATTTTGCGGTTCATTTATTTGCTGATTATATTTGCATCATAGTATATTTTTGGCCTTGTGGCCAAGTGGAGACTAGGTTGCCCAAGCCCCCGTCCAGCACTCTTACCATGGGCCACACTGCCTCTCACCGCACTGGCACCCCGGTCCTTAGAAGGGGGAGAGCAGGGCACGTGAGCCTGGGGCCTCTGCATGCACTCCATGGACCCCCGTCCTCAGTGGGACTCTGTCGGCGTGCGCCTTGCCCAGCAGCTGCCCGGGCGTCTGCATGCTTCCTCAAGTGGGATTCGGCATGGAGGTTCAGCGGTGCTCGTATCCCCGTGGTCAGTCATGTGGTGGGATTCTTCTCTCCCTCCCAAAGCATGGCTCCTCTTGGGACACATGGCAAGGAGTGGGGTGTTTCTCGGGTGTAATCCCGCACGGGTGTGCTGGGCTGCCGGCACGGCCCCTGCGGGGTAGGGAGCTGCAGCCCCTCCAGAGTGGGAACGACTGCAGGTGGCCGGACGGATGCACAGCGGTGTCATTAGGGTCCCTTCCTCCCGTTCTCGAGTGCAGTGGTTCAGTGGATGCAAGGAGCCAGCCTGGATCCCGCCCTCAGCCCTGGCCATCGCCTCCCCATGGCAGTTAGCCAAGCCTCCGTTGAGCCACGGAAGAGGCGGCTTCCTGCAGACCCGGTCGCCCACCGTGCAGGCTTCTGCTGCGATCTGCGCCCCACCTAACAGTGTCTCCCTTTCTCCCCCTGCAGGTGGCTTTTGGCACAGCAGCCTGATTGACCGGAACCTCATTGATTATTTTATCCCCTTCCTGCCTCTGGAGTACAAGCACGTGAAAATGTGCATCAGGGCTGAGCTTGAATTCCGCGGCTATGTAGTGGACGAGGAAGTCGTGACTCGAGTGGCGGATGAGATGACCTACTTCCCAAAGGAAGAGAGAATCTATTCGGACAAAGGATGCAAGACTGTGTACACTAAATTGGATTTCTACTATGACTTGTAGTGATGTCTCCTGATCTCATCTTCCAAGGAAATGAATCACAGAACATGGAGAAACTGATTTTTAATCCATCGGGGCTGGGAGCTTATTCAAAACAAGACGAAATTGGGGCATTTTCTTAGGAGAGCTGCTGCGTGTCAGCCGGGTCCAGCGAGCTGCTGAACGATTCTGGTTACTGTGAAAAATGACGTGTCGCGACTTTGATGGACCAGGAAGAGAGAGGGCTGGTCCGTGTGATTCAACCTGCTTCTAATCGGAATTCTGATCAAGACCACGTTCTGCTGCTTTGAGAACTGTGCTGCTTCTCAAGGAATGAAGGAATGTGCTGGCAATGCCTATAGAAAAAGGAACTCGGCCTTCCGGGCCGGGGCCCTCCAGATGCGTTGGGCTACGACGCCCGCCATGCTGGCTGTGGGATCCTGGGAGTACGTTGGCAAGGGGTGGAGCCAAACCTTTCCTTTTCTCAGACGATTAGCCTGATTGCAAGTGGTTCCAGTATTACTGGGAGCATAAATCTATGCAGCAATGTTTAAACCATGTGCCGGGGTGCCCAGCTGTTCCCTGAAAGCTTCTGGAGGCACTTCCCTGAGGTAGGAGCTGAAGAATTATGAAAAGCCCCCGCTTGTTTTCCATCTCTTTCCTGCAGTTCTTTCCATTCCTCTGCCCTCTGCCCCAGCAAGCGCAGCAGTTCCTGACTCAATGCAGAGCGTGGCCGAAGGTGCGTTACGCCAGCGGGTGGATGCCAGCCCCGGATATGGCTCGGGGGGTGCCTGAGCCGGCGCACGGGCCACGGGGTCCTCCCCTCTGGAGCAGCGTCTTCCCCAGCCTGGTGCCATTTGGGAGGCATCTGCCAGCGTTGGAGGGGCACCTTCTTTGGGGAAAGGGGCTTTAGAGGTGGCTGCACCATGGAAATGTGAGGCAGTGCAGAAACCAAGCGGAGAACCCTCTGCAGCGCAGTGCTTGTTCGGAAGCTGCAGGAACGACTTAGGTGTGAAAGTGTGCTCAGAGATCTTAAGTTGGGATGATACCCAGATGGGGTGCCTTCGGTTCGACCCAGAAAAGGCTGGACCGCTAATTGCAGCAGGACCTGCACCACTCCTTTGCCCAGGCTGTTCGGTGGCATGAAATGAAAGCTCACCCTTTGCTCAGGATCCCGTGCATGCTTCCTTGGGCATTCCATGGGACACGTCTAGGACCGCATCTAAACAAAACTGGACTAAATTAGTTTCAGACTGATGGCAAAGCATAGCTTTCAGAAGGGTAGCACTCACTTAGACTGTGCCCAAGGGTTTTTTTTCCAGAGATTTTAAAAATAATAATTTGTGAATAAACTTTTGTTGAATGTCTCTGTGTGGTTACCTCTGCTGACTGAAAAGCTCCCATTTTCTGCAAATTAACGATGTTGGGCACATTTGGAATGCTCCACAAGTGACTCCTTCCGTCTGTGCGTTCTCAGAAGGAAGCCTGAGCTGTGTGCGTCAGTCCGATCTCTGTGCCGCAATTCGCCTGTCCCTGACTGAGCGCACGTGGGGTGGTCTTGCTCCTTTCCCCTTGGCAGCTTTGGACTTGGCTCTGTGCATCCTGCTTGGGCTTCCCCCTTCTGCCTTTCCCATGGTTCCTTGGGGCTCCTGAGTCTCATCACCATGTGAATAGTGTACCAAAAACCCACCCAGCAAAGAGACGCATTCCATGGTACGGCATTTTTGATTCAAGTCGCAAAATTACTATCGCCTTCACAACGCAGTGTCTTGCAGACACGCAGGTCCTTTGAAAAGCGGCAACAGCGTCCTTGAGTTGCCTTTTTCCTGAACTAAAAGGCCTTGGGAGCTGGAGAAATGGGATCTTCCCCACAATGTGCGGAACTACAACTTCCAGCATCCCCCAGTTAGCTAGGAACGGTCAGCAGGGGTCTCTTGATTCTGTAAAGTGTTTGTGAGGGGAGGGGGGTGCAGTGTGTCCTGGCAGCTGGCTTGAAATGCTTTTGAAATGCATCAACAGACAAACCTTCCGGCTGGTCACCGGGCAGGGTTGTTTTTGTATGCGCTGCTGAATCGTGGCCAAAACGCTGCATTAGAGGAGCTGAAAATGTTTTGAAATCAAGTCAGAATGGCAAGAAGAGGACTTGCATAAAAACCTTTTACTGCAGTTCTTTGTGAGCATGAAGTTTAGTCCACAAAATTCCCCAGCATTGAAAACATCAGTACTAGTAAGTATACAACTTTAGGCTGCATAGGAAGCGGAAAGTGAAGAACGAGGCGGAGATGGAATACGATACAGTGCAATCAATCACAGCAGCTATAAAGGGCCTTTTGTTGTTCTGAAACGCTTCCAAAATTAGAGCAGTTAACAAAACAACTCGCATCTAGCATTGATTAATTAAAAAGTTCCAAATCTGCCACTCAATGCAGATCTGGCTTCTCCACCACACAGCAAGCACGCAGCAATTCTCAATGTTAGGAGGCTTCCAGATATTGCTGAACTATTAATTCCCACAATGTGCCAGCACTGGCAGTGCTGCCTGTGGCTGATGGGAGTCCAAAAACATGGTGGGGGGCACACATTCCCTGCCCACCCTAGACCAGGGAGTGACCTGCCTGTTCTGGCCTACAGCTCCCATCAGCCCTTTCCAGCAGCCAGTGGAGAAGGACCGCAAAAATGGAGACCAACACCTTGAGTGCGCAGAGTTGCCCACTCTGCTCTGGACTCTTAAGGGATACAGAATGGCATCAAATCCTAAGGTCTGACTTCTTCTCATGGCTGGCTTATCCAGTGCTCAAGAGCTCTTTGCTATCCATTTTCACTGCCACTGTGCTATGGTGCCACTTGGGAGGAGCAAACCTCATGGCAGCTCTGAGAGAGAGACTGGGAGGAAGAGAACACACACGCACGCGCCAGTAACGCACCTGTTCCACATAAAGGCACTTCTCATTTCCTGGCACATCTGCCATGTGTCACGTTTGCAGAAGAGCTGCTCTGCCCATCTCTGGCCTCTTGGAATAGCCTGAGTGCTGGAAGCCACCGCGGCCCCGTGCTCCTCCCCGGCTGCATCCCAGAGAGGGACCAAAGTCAGGCCAAACTCACCCGTACTTTGACTTCCACACCAGTGGTCGCCCACCCCACCCCACCCCACACACAAAGTGCAAGAACTGGTTCTGTTTGATTTGGAACAAGCCATGAGGTCATAAGGAAAACAACAAACTGTGTGTGGCCTTCCAGACCGAGGCCACGTCCGAGGCACAGGTGAGGCCTGCGGAGATTTCAGTGGGAATGCCAGAATGGCAGTTCCGGGGTGACGGCACACGGATCTGCGGGGGGTGGGGGCGACCATGAGACCCGGCAGCCTGAAAGTCGCAGACGTGAGAAGGCGCGCTCTGGAGGTGGTGGGGCTGCTTTTGGAGCACCTGAAAGTGCTTCCGCAAGGCAACCCGTTTGGAGGGACACGTCACAACGGGCCTCCCCGTCTGGTGCTGCTCAGCAAGGACACACCAAGTGGCCCTCAGTAGACGTCTATCTTGCTCTGCACAGTCTTGCAGCCCTTGTCCGAGTAAATCCGCTCGTCTCGCGGGAAAAAGGTCATCTCAGCAGCCACTTTCTCGACCACCGCCTCGTCAGGCTGGAGCCCACGGGACTGCATCTCCGTGTGAATGCACATTTTCACGTGCTTGTACTCCAGTGGAAGGAAAGGCACAAAGTAATCGATGAGGTTTCGGTCGATCAGCCTGCTGCGCCAGAAGCCACCTGGGGAGCAGCGAGAATGGAGGGCTCAGAGGAGACGAGCTGTCATTTCGCAAGAGTCCGTGCATTTGTGCCCTGGCTTTCTTCCTCCTGCAACCCAGAGTGACTCACAGGGGCTCCCTCCCCTTCATTTGTATCCTCACAACAAGCCTGCTAGTGATTGCCCCAAGGTGGCCAGTTTTATGGCCGGGGGGGCGGCAGGAATCCAAGTCCCAGTTCAGCCCCCTCATCTCTGTGCCACGCTGGCTTTGCCGCTGGCCTGATGCCACGGGCTGAGGGCTCTCCCGAGTCAAGGAGGTGCTGCGCCTCCGCTCACGCAGTCAGCCGCGGCCCCGCTGCGAGGTGGGTCTGGCCCTCAGGCTCCCGGACGACCCCTGCCCCTGCCCACGGCTTGCCTGGCCAAGTGGTTTTCCTGTTTCCGTGCAACGCCGAGGGCACAAGCCCAGCAGAGGGCACGGAACAGAGGCAGGCGCTGGAGGGGCCCACACAGCGAAGCCGCAGGGAGTCCGTCTGGTAAGCGATCAGGACAAGCTGAGCTCCCGGCAGCTGCGACTCGATTGTGTCCCAAAGCTCAGTTTACAGCCTCTGCTGAGCCCAGCCTTTTGCACGGGGTTGGGCCTTAAGCCACAAATGCTTTTGTGCTGTTTCAGAATGCTTTCTGATCTACCTATTTCCATTCGTGTTTCAAGCAGAGGATCCTCCCACCCCGGTATCGAAATAGAAACGCTCTCACTGTTCTTGTTGTTGTAAACGGCCAAGGACAAGGCGCTGTCCAGGTCTTTCAGCTGGATGTCTTCCCTGGCCCGTCCACTCCTCCAGAAGTCCAGGGCCACCTGGGTGATCAGGTCGCCCCCAGCATTGCTGTGAGGAGGAGGACACGACAGCCACCCGCCTCAGCTGCACGATGTGGTACAGACACCGTGCTGCCCCCTCCTTCCAGCGTCCCCTCACCGCCAGTCCCCCATCTTTCGCCTCACGGCGCCCAGACAGGTCTCCTCTCCCTCTCGGGATCCCACAGAGCCTCCTGCTTGCTCCGACACAGGGCTCTTTCAGATGCTCCTGGGGTAGAGGTCTACTATTTTTTCTCAGGGGCTGGGGCGGAGGTAGCCTTGGGTGCCACCTGAGCGGTTGCCGAGGAGAGGGCAATGGGAAGCATCTGCCCCCATTCTGACCCAGCCGGCCGGAGAGGTGCCTCATCTCGGGGAGAGCACAGAGGGGGTGCAGAATCCGCATTCTGGCCTGCAGAGGCGCCCAGTCGGAGCACCGTGGAGGACACCCCTGCTTTAAGCTCGGGTCTGTTATCAACCGGGACAGAAAGCCAGATGAAGCCTCCCAGGGGGCAGCGGTGCTTGTCCAGCCCACAGAAGGGTCCAGGTCACCCCCTGGATTGCAACGGCTTTGCCCCTGGTTTAGGGAAATAAGCCGAATTAACCAGCAACAGCAGCAGCCAGAGTGGCTTCCAGAAGGCTGTGAAGACCCACCAACCTGAGGAAGATGAAGATGGCCCTTTGGTAGGATATGCCGTCAATCTGCTCATAGTAATCAAGGAATGGCTTGATGGCGTCAATCAGTCCCGGGTGCAGTTTGTCCATTTCATCAAATATGAAGACTGACCTTGCACAGGCACTGACGTTGCCCCGGATCCAGCTCTGCAGCTGGTCCTGGAACAAAGCGAGGTGAAGGTGTGAGACGAGTTCAAGGCCCCATCATGATTCAGTCCGTGCTGGCTGGTCCCACCATATTTATTGCATTAATTGCATTTTCTTGCTGCCCCCCGCAAAAAAAATCAAAAGCGCTCCCAGCAGGGTTTGCAATCCTAGAAAAAACAATGCTCTCTGGGCTGCATGTTTACAATCTGGAAAAGACGTCGTGAACCAAGAAGTGGGCGGGGAGGAAAAGGTTAAGACTTGGAGCAGGTCTGTTTGCCCTCCCATTTCCTAGACGGGCGTGGAGGGCAGTCCAGTCCAGTCCAGTCCGAAGCCCCAGATGCTTTGCCACAACCCAAACAGTGACTCTGATTTAAAAGAATGGATCTCCCCTTAGATCCTAGAATAAAAGAACTTATCTTGAAAGGCGGTACCAACAGATAAAGAGAGGTGCTCCGTTTTCCTAAGAGGCAGGAAAACAATCTGAAAAATCTTGGGAAGGGAAAAGGAGGCTCTCTAGCTTGAACAGAGGATTTATTTAACTTCAGGAAACTTGCCAAAAGCGGCAAGCCTAAGTTTTGCTTTCCATTTCTCTCCTCCTGACTTGTTCCCAGCTGGCTTGCTTTTTATGCAAAGCTGGTTCCTCCAGAGCTGTGCTGGGTGAAGGCTTAAAAGAACCATGCTGGTTCCAGCAGCGAAAGAGGCGGGGGTGGGGGGTCAGAGTGTTGGAATGGGTCTCGGGAGATCCTGGGTTCAAATCCCCCTCAGTCCTGAAGCTCACAGGGTGACTTTGCAGCAGCCAATGACTCTCAGCCTAAGCGGCTTCAGGAGGCTGTCGTGAAGATCCAACAGGGAAGAGGGCCACGTGAGCTTCTCTGGGCTCACTCCCAGAGCCAACAGGCGGAGCTAAAGCTGAACCCTCCTGATGTGTTGGACTACAACTCTCAGCATCCCCAGGGGCTGGCGGATACTGGCAGTTCTACCCCAACACATCTGCTGGGGACCAGGCTGGAGAGCCAGGGTGGCGCAATGGTTAAGAGCCTGGGACCGGGACTCAGGCGATCCGGGTTCGAGTCCCCGCTCGGCCATGGAGCCAACCGGGTGACTTTGGATCAGTCACAGACTCTCAGCCCAACCTACCTCACAGGGTTGTTGTTGTGGGGATAAGATGGAGGAGGAGATGTAAGCTGCCTTGAGCCCTTTGTAGGAAAAAGGCAGGATATAAATCAAAAGAAAGAAAGAAGAAACAGGCCTGGGCCTCGGGTTCGAGTCTCTGGTTTGGCCATGAAGGACCGCGGGGGACGTTAGGGCCAGTCGCTGACTCTCCGCCGCACCCACCTCACAGGGTTGTTGTGAGGATGACGGAAAAGAAGAGGACAGCCGAGCACGCCTTGCAAGAGGAAAATCGGTCCCAGCGCTCAAAACTAGCCCCTCACCGTGTACAGCGGGATCTGGTCGCTGCGCAGAAAATGCAGCGTGGAAACGAACAGGTGCACGAATTTGCTCCGGAGGCCTCCCTTGTGCACGTTCTCGGCCAGGATCTGGCTGACGAAGTTCTTGCCCGTGCCGGTCCAGCCGTGCAGGGAGAGGACGAGCGGCTTCTTCGGGCTGGGGTTGTTGAAGAAGCCCGCCACGGCCTTCAGGATCACGTCCCTGGCCAGGTGCTGCCCGAAGAGCCTCGCGTCCAGCTCGGCCCGGAGCGCTGCGGCGAAACGCAGAGAGCCCGAGCTGCAGGGCGCGTGGCCCCGCCGGGCGACCCCGACGCCGCCGGGCGCCCCGGTCCCAGGCGCCCCAGCCGGCCCGGCCGCCCCGCCCGCCCCGGGCGCCCCGCCTGCCTCCCTCC